GAAGACCTAACATTTTGGGGTCAGAAAAGTAAAGGAGGAGAACACACTTTTGCTTCTGAAAAGCCTGGAAAAAGTGAATATGCATCTCTCTCTCCCTATATATATATATATAGTCATAATATAGTTGGCAGAGTGTATAGGCCAGTGACTACATAATTGTACTTAATATTGTAGACGTTTGAACTTGCAGAACTGAATGTAGAAAGAATTTAGGATGGAATATATTAAAATTTTCCTTTTTTATTATAAGACAAGGTATTTCGCAAGCTTGTCTTATTTATTTATTTATCTTCCCTTTCCCCCCTCTTCTCCCCCTCTTCCCTCCCAACCTATCACAGAATCACAGAATGGGTTGGTCTGGAAAGGACCTTAAGATCACCCAGTTCCAGCTCCCTGCCATAGGCAGGGACGCCTCATGCTAGACCATGTTGCCCAAGGCTCTGTCCAACCTGGCCGTGAGCACTGCCAAGAATGGAGCATTTGCCACTTGTTTGGGCAACATGTTCCTATGTCTCACCACCATCACATGTGTTTCCTTTTCCACTGACCCTACATCCTGCATCTGTAGAATAATTACAGCAGTGGGAAATGCTAATACGTGTCTTGGGAGGCTGGCTCTCCAGTCCTGTCAGGTTTAATGATGCAGCACATTGGGAATGATATAACTGAATGCAAACTCACCATGCTGATCCTCAGCATCCCAAGTCTTTTTTTTTATAATAATCAGTTTTATGATATTTGAAGTCATGAGGTTTGAAGAAATGAGAGTAGACGTATTGTAAAAAGAAGTATTCTTAAGTACAGGAATAAAAACTATTTGCATTTATCTGCTCATTGGAGGATTTGCGATAATAGTCCACTGTCTAATATGTGCTTCTCCTGGGTGAAGGTTTTAACAGGTTTTGAGCAGATGACTTGCCTTGGCTGACCTACCACTATGCACTGCTATTCATTCTGTTTATATTATGCTTCTGGTTATCTTTTCCATTTGCAGAATCTATGAAGTGTTTGATGTATTTGTATAAACAATTTGATTCCAGAAAATATGTTCTGAATTAGATGCCATTACTGTACAACAATACACTAACAACATTTTGAGCTCTTTTCAAGTCCTTTGTTTAATAACACAGTGAATGTTATTAGACTGTTACAGTAAGTCCCGTTAACATTAAAAACCAACTTGTAAAATTGAAAAGTTTTGAGTTCTGAAATTATGGATGATATCAAATTGGAGCATCTGTTTCCGCCTTGAGTTTTCTGGTGAAATGTTTTTCTACTGATTCTTGACAAATTGCTTCTCATTAAATCAGGCTTTTGGGTTTCAGTTTTGATAATCATGCCTTTAAAAATCATTTTCAGTGGAAATTTTTAGATTGAGATTCTGTAAAAACATAGAAGTAAAACTTTCTCTACTTTTGGTTTGCCTTTCACTTACAGTACTGAGGAGTCACAAGTTGCTTCTTAAAGCCACAACTACTGGAACTACTTCTTTTCATCTAAAATAAAAGTATCTAACAGGGACCTAGAAGAAGTCTGGAGAGGGAATTTTTACAAGGATGTGTAGTGATAGGTCAAGGGGGAAGGGCTCTGAGATGAAAGAGCGTACAGTTAGATTAGAAATTGGGAAGGAAATTCTTCTCTGAGGGTGGTGAGACAGCTGGCACAGGTTGTTCAGAGAAGCTGTGGCTGTCCCATCCCTGGCAGTGTTCAAGGCCAGGTTGGACGGGCCTTGGAGCAGCCTGGTCTAGTGGGATGTGTCCCTGCTCATGGCAGAGGGTTGAAACTGCATGAGCTTTAAGGTCCCTTCCAACACAAATCACTCAATGGTATGATTCTAGTATTTTCACAGAATTGCATGTCTCCAGAACACAAAATTATTTGGAAACAAGTAGAAGATCATCAAATGTTAATATAAGCAGTCTACATTTTGCTTCCAATTCTCTCTGTTCCTCACTTGTATTAGAATTTAATCTGTACAGAGAACTTTTCCTTTGCTGCTGGAGTGGCCAAAGCTCTATTGAGCTTTGTAGCATAAGTACGATACAGATAGCTGTACCACGTGAAGGCATATAGAGTATAAATACAGTGTAGTGTATACCATGTGTTGCATAATTTGAGAGTGCAAAGGAGCCTGCGTGGGAGCTGTTGCTTATATTGTGTTCAGGACTTAAAAAAAGTGAAAGGTAGCAAGACCCAGAAAAATCTGTGCTTATATTATCTTACTCCCCATGTTCCCCTTTGTCTGTGACAGTTCTGTTTCCTTGTGTCCTGTCGCAAAGCTATTTTAAGTGAATGGCAAAGCTAATGGCTTTTGGATGTTGAAATAGTTACAGGTATGCCATCCACAAGAAGGTTGCTCCAAAACTCAGAGGGAAAGAAATCTTCCATTGGGAAAGCTTGTTTGTTACATGGATTTACATATTATTCATATATATTTGTTTTTCTTTGAAGTAATACAAATGTTTGGTCTGTTTGTAATATTTTGAAGACTATTTTGAACTGTTCCATTATCTGGTTTCAAATATGGCTTGTTATTTTCTTTTTTTTTCCTAGCTGTTTTCAAGGCAACTGAGACAAATATTGACATTCAGAAGAAAATAATTACAAGCATTATCTCTCCTTGAAAAGCAGGTCTATACTTTGCATCTCTATCTATATGTCAAGTTTCTGTAGTCAGTAGAAAATTATGCAAGCTAACATGTAGCATTTGGTAATTTGAATTTTCTTGATGTACCAAATACTTGTTCGTTGTTGTAAGTGCTGAACCATGAATAATTTAGTGGCTTTCACTTCATAATAGGCAGTGTCTGCTAACTTTGAAGTTAAGTGGTCAACTCAAAAGTTTGCTGGAGCTGACTAATGATTCACCAGAGATTTTTGAGAGATATTTTGTCATCAATTTAAAGCTCAGAGAGGTTTGCTGTTGCAGCCATCTGGTAATTCTTGGTTCTCTAGAGGAAAGAGAAGCCTTTTGATAAAACACATCAAAGCATTCTGCTCTTTCAATGACTGATACCTGTAAGTAACTTAGAAGTTTCTCAAAAGGATTTCACAATGCCTGACTCATGTGCCAAACTTTTGCATTCTAGCTTCAATACAACACTGGTGGTGAAATATATCTTAAAGTAGATTTAAATCATTATTTAAATAGTTCTGTTCATGGATAATTTACAGATCTAAGTGTTTTGTAAAAAGCAAAGGTTTCTACTTTATCAAATAGGCTGTCATGATTAATAAAATTGATGCTAAACCTTGTTGTGCTTTGTATTAACTGTACAGGTGAGGGTACTCTCAAAGTCTCTACTTGGGCTATACCATAAATCTAAGATATAGATGTACTGTCTTAGATTGTAGGTCATGTACAACTATAGTGTAGAAATAGGTATCATATTCTTTCTAGAACTAATTCTGTTAGCAGCTGGAATTCTGGTGTGGGGTTTGCAGATGTTTTTCAGCGAAGATGTTTTTCAGTGAAGAGCAAATATGGAGAGAGGGAGAGTTAGGACAGGAAGTGCACTGCAGCGTCCACTTGAAACCAGAGCGGTCTAATGCTGGTTTGTACACACAGAGTTGAGATTTGTCTGGAATCGGGATGTTGTTTCTATTCCATCAGACATTCCGGATGTGCAATTGCCATGACTGCACATGTTCAGTCTTCTCAAAGAGTGAGTTTATTGCATCACAAATGCAGCACAAGCAGCCAAAACAGAGTGATGAAATTGGCTTTTTACCTTTCAAGTTGTTCAGATAAAGGGCGTCTGAGTGAGATGTGGTGGTGTGTTACAGTAAAGGAAAGGGAAAGCATTACCTTGTAATGCCCCACACTGCTGGGTGTGAAAAGGGGGAATATTATCTTTTTTCACTGGAATGAAAAAGGGGTGAGTTGGTCCACAGTGGAACTAAGGACAAGTGTTTGTGCCATTCACTCTTCCTTATGTTTTAGAAGCTCATCGTAATGACTGAGGTACTGATGAAAGAAAGTAATTAAGCCTCCTATGTCAGGTTCTCCTCAATGTCTATAAAGGAATTTCAGAAATAGTTGGTGTGTCTTGGGCTGTACCTGATTATCACCCATAGCAGCCTTATGATATCTGAAGAGGACCTGCAAGGATGCTGGAGAGGGACTCTTCATCAGGGACTGTAGTGATAGGACAGGGGGTGATGGGTTTAAGCTAAAATGGGGAAGTTCACGTTAGATACAAGGAAGAAGTTCTTTAATGTGAAGGGTGGTGAGACACTGGAACAGAGTGCCTGAAGAAGTGGTAAATGCCCCATCCCTGGCAGTGTTCAAGGCCAGGTTGGACAGAGCCATGGGTGAGTGACATGGTCTAGTGTGAGGTGACCCCCTGCCCATGGCAGGAGGTTAGAACTGGATGATCTTAAGGTCCTCTCCGACCCAAATGATTCTAAGATTCTATGATACAGTTTTTATTAATAGGTTAGCCTTATTATCATTTAACCATTCCAAGTATAGTATTTGCTAAGTGACAAATGAATATTAGGTAGTCACCATAAGTTCTTTAAACATACTGATTTTACATTAAGTAGTTTGGAGAGACTTCTAAAGAAGCTGAGTTTTTAAGGAGTTAATAAATTTAAAATGCAAACTAGACCATTAGTATGGTACTACATTTTCAGAAAACAGAATGATGGGAGATGGTGTAGGTATGGCTAATTCTTCACCTGTTAACATTTCCTAGAACTCAGATTTAAAAGTGCATCTAGCAGAAGAAAATTCCATGTGTTTGTTGTTACTGTTTCAGCTTTTCAGTGAGCAATCCAAGACATAGGTCTGGTGCTCTTGTTTCTCATTAAGCTCAATAAAACAATGGTGAAATTGTAACTCCATAATTTTTCACAGTTTCAAGTTGTGCCTGTTGTATCTCTGAATCAGATGCATGTGCTTACCTGATTGTTTTCCTCCTGCCTGCTTGACATGTGCTTCCCAGCAGCTACAGTTGAACATTTTTTTTCTCCTTTCTTTTTTTTTTCTTTTCCAGTGTGGGAACTTTGCTGTTTTGGTGGATGTTCATATTTTGCCTCAAGGCTCCAGTAAAGACACCAGCTGGTTTTCAGATCATGAGAAAGAGGTACAGCAAATATCAATCCTACTTCAAAAGCATGTGGCTGCAGGGAAAAAGTTGGATTGCCTTGAACTGTTCAGGATTTTTCAGTGTTATGAGAACATTGTTAGTTATACCTACCCATCAAGGGTTGCTGTGGGACCCCAAAGTCAGCCATATGTGCTTTTTGAGTCACTAATGACCACTTTCAATTTGCCTTTTAATTTTTAAACTCTGTGTGTGCATGCATGCATGTGTGCATGCTGTTCTCATTCTTCTGCCTTGACTTTTAATTTTAAAAACATACTTCTCATGGATGTTTGTAAATTACCCTCAGTGATATGAAACAGATTGTGACAGGTATGGTTTTTACAGAGTTTGTTGGTGGAATATCTTTCTATTAATTGTTTCTCGTTCTGAGAAGTATGAATGATGTTGCATTTAGAGAGTGCAGGAAAACATAATGACAAACTATAGTAGAACTGTTGCATCGTAGGAAAAGAAACTATCTTTATCCTGACAACAGCTGAAAAATGGGAAAATCAGTGCATCAAGTGAGCAGCAAAATTAGGACTGTAACATTCATCAGCCTCTTTGTGATTTCTGCTACAAGCTTGTGATGAGTTACTGGCAGGAGTTTTCCCCTCTTTCAGCCTGGGTGGGAACTTGAGAAGTTTTCTGTTGAAAATGAGCGCAGGACGTGTTTGAGATGCCTGTGGACTTTCCCGCAAGTCTCCGTTACGGCAATTTTCAGCAGATAGTTTTCCTAATCATGGCAGAATTAACTTGTCACTGCAGAACGTCCCCAAACATCTCAAAGTAATACACTTCAATAGAATTAAAAGAAACAATAGATGAATATCCCGAGGGAGAGAAAGCTGAATATTTAAGTGTGTGGTTCATCCAATTAGTGCTTTATTAAGCTGAGAAGGAAGAAAATAGGGGAAATCTTTCCCACTTCTTTTTTTTTTGACTAACTGAATACTCCTTACCCCTTTCTATTTATAACCAGGTTTACTATCCTGGTTATCTGACTTTTAAGTGTTTTCCAAACGTATTTTGTAAGACTGCCAAAACAAAAGATACGAATTTCAGGAAATTAGCTCATGATTGACTTAATAAAGAGGCATGACAGGGCAGCATTCATTGCATTTCTGTGACCGCAGATCTTGAGTGAAGTACAAAGGTTGCATATTTTCAACAACCCAGAAGTGTGATTCCAATAGCTTTGAATTCTCTTCCTGAAAGTCCTATGCAGAATCTTAGTTAAAGTGGGAAGAAAAAGGTCTTAGAGGCAGATTATGCCTATATGTGTTTTAGGGGAGCTATTACATACTCAATCACAAGCAGTTTTCTACATTTTGGTGGTGGTTTGTTTTGGTTTTTTTTTTCCAGTTTCTTAAAAATAGCCATGGTGGTGCAGCTCTCTTGCTTGTCTGTGGGAAAAGCAGATGCCTCTTAGCTCTGTTGTAACACAAACATGATTTCTGCTGATTCCCTGCTCACCCCGGAGGAAAGTCAGAGGCTCTTCGTAGCAAACACTGCAGTCCCAGCAGGAGCAGGGAGCAGCCAGTTCCTGCTTGGAACATGGGGCACATACAGCAGTCTGGGAACTAAATGAGTGCCCATAAGCAGGAGGAAATAAGAGTTTGCGCTGTCTCACTGGGTGTTGTGGCAACCATGGTTTGCAGGCTGGTGTCACATGTGTTGTGCATAGACCCATCTCTGGGTTGCTGGGAGATGCAGGTTGAGGCATTGGGAGCCTTCCCCTTTCTCTGCCCTTCAGATTTTCCTGGCCTTGCTGTCTGTCCCTTTTCCCCTGGAATAGCAAAGTCAATGTTTTATCTTTGTACTTCAAGAACTGATTTTAATTCATGTCACTGCTATGGTCCCTCTCCATCTATGTAGAAGGTCTCACAAGTTCTTTCAGTGGTTGAAAGTACGTACAGACTATTATCTCAAAGCCTACGCTTGTATATATTTTTTAAATGTAGTTCTTGAATTTAAATAATACTTTCATAAATATAACAAGTAAATTCTTTTACACATAAATTAAGGAAGGGCATGCTCATCCTTATTGTTGCAGAAGGAATTAAATGCACGTTGTGTTTCCACTGCTTTCTAGACCTTTTCATTCTAACCTGAATGTATAATCCTGTGAAGGAATGTGTAATGAGATCACTTTAATGAGTTAAACAGAAGAATAAGTAAATATAGTGTTTTATAATTCTACTGTTCAAGCAGAAAGGAAAAAGGTATTTCTTACTGTAAGGAGAGAAAATACTGTTTCTGGTTGACCAGTGTATGTGCATTGTTTTCATTCAGAGCAGTATGTTAAAGATTTGTTGCTTTACATGCTTTCTATTCATCAAAAGTAAATTTGAAGCCAAGATATGTTAGAGTCTACTAAAAACAATTTTGTCTCTTGTCCAAACACTATAAAAAGGTAAAATGGTATTTTTGTGTGCCACAATTTATCATTTTTGTGAGCACATTATTGTGCACAATGAAAAATGAGAATACTGAGGGAAAAATCTCAAGTAAGTGTGGATGTATTAATTTGAAAACTTATTCTGGTATTCAAGAGAGAATTTTTCGTGTTTTCTCCAAGTTTTTATTTCTTCTATGGTTATTCTGGCTGAAGGGTTTGTTCTTATGTGGTTTTCCTTACGCTTTGCTGAAGGAAGTATGAAAAGATATGAACAGTTATATTTAGGAGCAGAAAAATCAAAAGGAACTAGAGAAATTAGGTTGCTGTGACCTAATCAGCTCCAAGTCTTTGCCCCAGAATTACCCCAAATTGAAACAAGGTATCTGCTGTGGTTGATGAGGATTCTTGCAGACAAATACAGTGTTGACAGTATCTGCAAGGATTTTTACTAATTCTTTGCTTAAATACCTGATATCATATTTTCTAAAGTGTGTTTCTCACATTTGTATAATATTATTAATTGCAGATGTTGTTTTTCCTTTTTATGTGAAAGGGAGTGATTTTGTATTCATTTCTGCTGTGTGTTTGTGGGCATATGCATATATAGATCTAAATAGGCCGATGGTTACTCTTTCAGAACGTCTGCATGCTGCTAGAGGAAGTGATTACTTCAAGGGTCAAACAGTACTTGGAGGCACCTAAAGGACGTGGTCAGTGGAAGTCAATGGAACGTGCACCATCTGGTCCTCTGTTTCTTACTGGTAAAATAAATGACTTATTGTGAAGTAAAGTAACATACAGTATAGGTGGAAACTGCTGTTCTTTACGTTTTTTCTGTGAGGAATTTGCCATCATGAAAGCCAAGAAGCCAGAAATAGCTGGTGTTTGGGTCTGAAGTTACTTCAGAAATTTTATTGAAAAAACCAAGTGGTTTTCAATTTTCTGTGTTACTGAAAAATGAATTTACGTATTAAGAGCCTATCATTGGAATTAAAAAGAATAAATGGTATAATCCTGTGTCCTCCAAAGTACATGGAAGTCTTGCTGGCTTATTAATTCTTCTTTTCACTTGAACATTTAGAAGTTCTTAATTAAGAAATAATATCTTTACTTTTCCCTCTTCTAACAATCTCTTCAGCCTTAATAAGATGCTAAAATGTGACAAACAGCATTTGTCGCTTCACCGGTGTTGCTGTAGGCTTGGCAATAGCATCGATGACCTTGGGAGTAGTCACTGTGCAAAGAACAGTAGTAAGAGCATTCACCTAATTTTTTTGATGTTGTTTGTATGTGAAGGTGGTGAGACTAATAGGTGCAATTTCAGTACATGCATGTTTTAAACTAAAGATAATGATCAGTGTAGCTTCTGCTCTAATATTAGATCAGCTTTGGGGCTAAATGGCTTGCCAGGTTTTGTTTCATGTTACTTCATTAGCTGTTGTGGCCATGGTGGTAAGTTTTACACTTGATAGGCTTATCTGTTGGTGTTCTATCACCCAAGCAATTGATTTTTAAATAGTTCTTAGGAAATAATGGCCTTTTTTTTTTTTTTTTTTATTACCAGTCTGGAGCATGTTATAAACTTATCACAGGAAAGAAGGGCTGCAGTAGTAAAGCCCTGTCTTGGCTACAGTTTCTCATGTTTCCTTAAATATATGAAAATAGTTCTCTACTGAAATATGAATTCCACAATGGATGCAATTACGTACTTACAGTGTACAATACTGATAGATATTTTTGAATTCAATGTATATTATATTAAATTCTGAAAAATTCTTTGCTTCTTAAGCTTTTTGGTCATTGAAAAGGTATAATCCTATAGAATTCTAGTTGATGGTTGCAGCTTTAAATACTATTATCGATAATAATTAACGTTTTTAATAAACACAGGTTAAATACTGTATGGTTGGCTGCTTACTGCAAAATTTGAGGCATAGACAAGAGCCAGATTGTTATGGCATGACAGGAGGGTTTTTTCCCACCCACAGCAGCACAATGCCGCATAAGCAAAAAAGTGCTTCAGGACACTAAAGACTTTCCAAGCACTTTTTTTTTCATGCAAGTTGTAACTACATTTTATCCCTTTAAAACATTATTCATGTTTATAAAACGCATGAGATTTCAGATCCCTGTACTTTTCTGGTTTTGAGAGAACAGTTTGAACTTTCTTACGGTGAAAGCGTAGGAATGTTACAGAAGGTAGAATCAGAATTTATGAGATTTGTGAGGTTTTTCTGCGTTTTCTTTTTCTACCTCAAAAACAAAAACAATGATTTTGTTCAATAAAACTGACAGACATAATAATTCTTTTTATATATGCAGGCAGATACAACACTAATTTGGGAGGGCCTCGGATTCTCTTTATAGCATGAAGTTTTCAGTAAAAACACTGGTAGTCTGTCCCGGGGTTGTGAACTGATCTTCTGCTTGGCTCTTCCCCCTTATTTCCTGAAAATGAAAAACTTAAGGATATGAGAGATCAACATTAAGCACTCGAGGAGATCAACAGTAATATCTGTGACAGTTTTAGATTAAAGAATATTTACTTTGGATGAGGCAGAATTCCCGTTCCATCAGTTATCTGCAGTTAATCCCACCGTCATTAAATTAACACTAAAGAAATAAAGGAGGAAAACTGTGATAACGAGCATTCATGTTGAACTTAACTTCCAAATCCAACTCTTTCCTCTTCTCTCAGCCTGTTTTGCTCAGGGCTGTAATTTATAAGAAAGGAGTGCTTTGTTCGTGTCCAAGAATCAAGTTTATTCAAGTTACATTCAAGTCTGTTCTTACCTGAGAAGGAAATAACAGAATAGGTGGGTGTTCACTGGAGCAACTGGGACCAGCCTCTAAGGGACTGACCCTTTTAGGTGAGCCACAAGCCTAACAGTCTCTAGCAGTTATCATTCAAATGAATGGTTTTGGAGCCATGCAAACATGTTTCCAAAACCTCATGTGTTTTGCCTTCCTCTCTAGAATCACAGGGTCTGTTTGTGGAGTACAATGAGATGCTTTTGTGTTTTCTCACAAACAGATGAAGTGCAAGGTAGCTGGCCAGCGTTTGGCTGACACTGTTTTGTAATATACAAAGAAATGCCCAAGCTTGAGATGTGGCTAACTCTGTGCGCATATTGTAGGTGCTGCTTGTGAAATGTGTAAGCTTGCAGCTATTGTTGCATTTGGAGGTTATTAAAAGTTTTTGAGCTCTTCAGACTGACTGTGGTTTCTTTTGCTCAGAATTATGCAAGTCTGTATTTAGAATTTCACTACTGTAAAACCCCTACTGTTTAAGGAAGAGTGTATCTATAGAAGGAACATTAAAATGCTTATTAGCTGGTTATTTACTACTTAAAGTATCCCAGGTCAGCATTCCACCCCTATTTGAACTTGCATCAGGTCAGTTATAATTAGTTTGCTCTCCGCATTGCAGGATGTATTCAAAATTAATTAGAATCAGAATTATTAGACCAGTATTAGTAAGATTTTAGATTCCCTCCAATATCAAAACATGATGTATTAGGATTTTCTTCAGAAATAGAAGCCAAGCTCCTTTACTTTGATCAGCAGATCTCATCGTGCTGTCTAGATCTGCTGAGCAGAGAAGGCTGTTGTCAAGCTGGCTATCTACCATACCGATTTTGAAGAGAAAATTTTCACCTATTAATTTCTTTTTATTATTAACATTATGTTTAATATCAATATTATTTAATAGCACCTTTCAGTTTTGTGGCACATAATATAAATAACCTTGCAAGTTACGTGTTAATTTACATTTCTTTTTCATGGAAGTTACACCCACAGAGCAGTGTGTGGTGGGTCGCATACCATCTCATTAGGAAATCTGTGGGTGTTGCACACAGGAGAAGAAAGAAAGAAAGAATGGAAAAATGAGAGAAAGTAGCCAAGACAAGCAAGTTCTTCCTATTCTTCCTTCTGTCTGAACAATTTCCCCACCCCTCCCAAATGGCCAGTATGAACAATTTGCCAAAGTAAGCTTTAATTTAGTCTTTGGACATAGGCTTTGGTATAAACTCTCTGTTTCCTGTGTTTAATTAATGTCCAAACGTGTTTGATTTTGATTTATTTTATTTTTTTAAGAGAAAAGTAAAGTGAGGTAGATCTTTAAAGATTTCATTTTGCCTGCATCCAACTTTCAAGGCCAAAATCATGCAAAAAAGGCATCGATCAGGTATGGTTCACTTGCATTATTTGAAGTTCAATGTAAGCCATCCAAAACCACCCCCCACATATTAGTGAATTTCTTGCATTTAAAAACCCCACTGCTTCACTCTACAGATACATAATCTTTAAATATTTTTAACATATATGTGCCACACATTTTCACTTGGCAGCCCTTTTGCTAGTAACAGATACTGATTTTAAGTGATGATGTTAAGCATGTTAGTGTTATAATGGTCACCTACTGTAGACTTTAGCTAAAAGCAGAGCCTGTTTCTTTCATGTTCTGCAGAAGGTGGTTGGTTTTGATTAAGAGCAATGAGAATTAGGAAACAAGAGGCTTGAGGACTGAGTGGAGGCACTAAATACAGGAGAATGACAAAGGGAGGACCATGGAAAATTAACATGGACACAGAGAGAAAATATGGCTAGGAGAAATGTCCACATTAGAAATTAAAGGAAGGAAAGAAGGAAGGAGATAGCTTGTAAACTCATTTCTTCCCCCTCTTGAGAGAGAAGGAAGTTGACTGTTCATCCTATGAGTAATTTTCAAATCTTTTCTTATGCCTTCCCTAGCATCCATGTTGTTTTTCTTGGCTTGAAGGTAGAACATTTTTGCTCTGATTTCAGATATTTTTTTATTGTACAGTCTCTTCTACAGTGAAAATAATAGAGGGCATGCTGTCACGTGGCACAGTGAGCTCCCAGCTTGATGTTATCTGCTGTCTCTGGGATTGTGTATATTGTTTTTATACTTTTAACCAAGTTTGCTAAGGAAACAGGGCTTACTGTGATCATGTTTTCCCTCTGTGTGTGTTTATCCATCTTTTTCCCCAGCTGCTTTTTGCTAAAATGATTGAACTTTATTAACAGGTAGAACTCTTAAGTCATTACATTTTCAGACATTAACTTCTGATAAGCTTCATAAAATGAGAAACTGGAAGAAGTGTAAGTACTGTTATGAAAAGTTCAGCCTTGCAAGGATCTGGAGTTAAAGTTCCTGTCTTATTTAGTATAAAAAATGCGTAACATGTAATTTCATAAGAAAATCATTTCTCTTGCTTATGAAACTGTGCTTGGCTCCTGTAAGCACATAAAACCCATACCATAAATCATGATGGTAAATATTCCAAACTGTTTTGGCCTTGCATTCTAATTTGAACATTATGATTTTTTTTAAGGAGAACACCCTTTTCAGACTGCCCTAGTTTGCTTTAGGGAGTGTGCACTATTACTGTCAAATGGGAATTGTGTAAGATGTTCATAGGGTATATTCCATGTTACAATCCTGTAGCAGCAAAACTGATTTATTCCCACCCTCTCAGCTGTTTACTCTTTCTCTGCTGTGAAACCAAGTTTTCTTTGGGTTTAACTAGAATAATTTCACTTATCTTGCTTAAAGAGCAAACTGGAGGTAGGCTATGGCACATTAGCTACCAGAGGGGACTGAGGAGGACAGAAGTCTTTTAAATGAACTTTGATGTTTGTAGTTGCACACTGTAATTTCTGTCTCTCAAAAGAATTATGATGCACCTTCTTTACAATGGGCTGACTTTGGATTTGTGTCCAAGTCCTGTACATCTTTGTGAACTTTCAACTTGCATTCATCTGTCAGTGACAGAGTCTCACAGCTCCCTGTAGCATGCAGTAACTTACGCAATAACTTACGCAAAACATTTTTATTTGTATCTTGTACTTAATATTTTCTGTATTTGCTTTAGATTACTTCCCCCCCCCCCCCCCATTTTTTTAAAAGCCAGCTAGCGGGGAATAAAGGCATCTCTTTTTTCACCAAAGCATTTTTCTTCCAGAAATTCCAGGTTTTGTATCTGAGTTTTTGTTTGGTTGGTTGTCCTTTTCTCAGGGTAGAAGATGTTTGACAAAAGCAAAATCCCACATAATTATGCACTGTTTGGGAAAGTTTTTTTTAGTGATTTTTTTTTTTTTTTTGGTACCTTAGATTATAATACTATAGTATTGGGAAGAGCTCCCAAGAAGGGCAGCAAAGATGATGCAACATGAGGAAATGCAATGCAGGGAACTTAGGAAATACAGGGAAACAGTTAAGTGTGCTAGGACTCTTAGCCTGGAAAATACATGAACTAAGGGGAATGCAACAGAGGTCTATGAAATAATTTATTCTCTCTTCCAATTTGAGAGCGAGAGGGCATCGGATGAATGTACTGGAAGCACTGTGGTAGTTAGCAGAGCTGTGGAACTCTTTGCCAAAGAATGATGGGTATGCTAAAAGCTTACGCCGAGTCCACGAGAAACATGGGAGAGTAATCCAGGGAGGGTACAGGATTCACAAATCTCCTTTGGTTCAAAAAAGGCCTGACTTGAGAGTGCTTGGAGTCTGGGAGAATACTGGGGAAATAAACACATGTGCTTTGTTCTTGTGTTTAGTCTCCTTGTAGCCATTTATAGTGACTTTTATATGCAAGGCATTTTGCTATATGAACCTTTGATCTTATCCAGTATGGCCTTGCTTGTCATTGTGCTTTTGTGGAACAAAACCTGCACTATATATGGAAAACTCAGTATGTCAGAGAGAGTTGGTGGGTTCCACAGATCGTCAGAGAAAATTCTGCGCTTTCTAGGTTGAAGGATCTACTTTTCCTGTTACTACACTGATATTTGCAGAGACTTCAGCAATTGCTACCCCTATCTTAGATGAGACTTTTGCATCTGCAGCACCAGGTGGGTTGAATGCATTCTCCTCACTTCACTTCTTTACTAGCTGCAGCTCCCATGTGAAGTTATTTATGGTCTTGGATAGGAAATGAAATAGTGTATTTGTATTAAAGATGCACTAAATAAAGTGGTTTTATAGTTAGTATTGTTTTGAAAAGAAGTATTTATTTAAAACAGTAGGAGCGTTCTTTAACATGGTGTATTTTTGTGAGAAGAAAGAATTTGGTGTTGGTTTTGAAAGGCCTTGACCTCTAACCCTTAATTATCACCTGCCTTCATTCATTCTGGCTCTTTCTCTTGCTTCCATCTTGTTTCCATCATTTATCTCTTGTTTCCATATATTTGATGAATAGAAAAAAAACCCACTACGAAAATTACTCTTTAAGTGCATGCATTTACAAAAAAGATGTTTTTTTACACCTGCATGCATGCACAAAGGTTGATAGCTACTGACTTGTACACCTGTATAAGCTATAAAGGTCCTTCTATAGCATCCAAGTGCTTCTGCATAGTAATTTTTCTGTTAGGCAAATTTAAAGTTTATCTTTGGAGTTTTCATTACATTGTTAGGCAAAAAAGTCAGTATCCCATTAATTGTGTGTATTTACAGAGTGGAATTATACCTCATCTTTCAGTTTATCAAAGCTGGCTAGAAGTTAAGAGGCAAGTAACCTCCAGCAGGTAAAAATGAGGTTTGGGATATTAGTTTGATGTAAGGTAGGCAAGATGAACCCCACCTTTCATTTCTGACTTGATACTCATTTGAGAATATCAAAGTGACTCTCATCTAGGCCAGCGAAACACAGCTACCTTTTGAAAGAGCCAAAGAGCCCTGAGCATCTGTTTGTCCCAACTGGAAATTCGGCATTTTTGGAATCCACATGGAGTGGTTTTGAAAATCTGTCCCTAAGCACTTACCATTTCTTATTTGACTGTCTGATTCTTCTTTGTAACGTGCTCCTCTTGAAGGTACTCTTTATTGTGTGCTCTGTAGAGCTTTGAAAGCTTCTGTAGTCACTTGGAAGCAGGAATGCAGAGGATAGAGTGTCAGCGTACAGCTTCTATGGACCAGTAGCACTAGGCACAGCTGGAATAGGTAGCAGATAGATTTAGAGGGGGGGTTTGTATGCTGGCTGTTTCAGTTGAGATCTTCTGAAGAGTAAGCTTGACTTTGAATTATCTTCTCCTACCCTTTGTGAACATGGCAAATAGGATTTCTACTGGAAGCATTTTATAGATTCTGTGGTCTGTTTAATGCTCAGATTCCTTGTGTTGGAATGTCTAAAATACTAGAGAAAAAATTATTCGGTCAGTATGATCAACCTGACTTGCCTTAGCAGTCTGACCTTCACAAATACGCGTATGGGGTAACTCAAAGTCTGTGCTGCCTGGATGGGTTTGGCTAGGAAGGGACCCTAAAGATCATCTAGTTCAAACCCCTGTGCCATGGGCAGGGACACTTCCACTAGACCAGGATAGTGAGGGCAACTGTTGTGGTTTAAGCCCAGTCAGTAACTCAGAACCACACAGCTGCACCAGCTACTAAAGAGGAGAAAAATGACTGCTACTGCTGAACCCAGGACAGCAGCTTAACATAATTCATGCATTCTGCTGAAGTAAAGTGTTTGCAACTAATGTCTGAATCTGGTCGTATCTTTTGGGTTTAGTTACATCTTTTATAAGGTATGGTATACCTTTAAGATTCAATTTTTTCAGCTTGGGTACCTATGATTACATATATTACTTGCTGACATGCATAATGGGTTGTGTTGTTCAGATGCACACCAGGTTGTGCATTACAAAACACACACACACTGCACTCCTGTGCAACAAGTGCTTGTTGTCCATGTGCAGAACATGCTGTGTTTGTGTGCAGCTGTGGTGGCTCTGTGACTTCTAAAGGAAGATCTCTGAAAATCTCATCCTGGGACAGAAATTCTGTGTTTTTAGACTTGAGTGGTCTTGCTGGGCAGTGATAGGAGTCATGAGGGTGGTGAGGCACTGAAACAGGTTGCCCAAAGAAGTGGCAAATGCTCCATGCCTCCAGTGTTCAGGCCAGGTTGGACAGAGTCTTGGGGAACATGACCTAGTGTGAGGTGTCCTTGCCCAGCAGAGGGGCTAGAACTGGATGATCTTAAGGTCCTTTCCAACCCAAACCATTCTATGATTCTATGATATGTTTTAGCAGGCATGTAAGCGTTTTGCATTAGGACCGTTGTCAGCATCACAGGTTTGAGGCATTTTCATGTAACTGCATAGGAAGGGAAAAATAGCTTGATTTAATAAAAAAAAAATAATCCCAGAAAATCCAAACAAAACCTTATTAAGCAGAGGTCGTGAACATGGATGGAAAGGGAAATATGATTTCCCCAGGGGAAAAGAAAGACTATATTTAAAATTAACCAGGTTTGATAGCTCCTTTTGCCTGTTTAATTAGCTCAACTGTATATTAAATAAAATGGAAAAAGAATAAGGATTTGAATTTTATTTTGAGCTGAAATATCAGATTCCTGTAAAAGAAAAGAAAGTGCTCTTTATTAAATGTTTCTAAAGAGAGCAATACTGTTTTGGTTACAACCTAAGCAAGAAAGAATAGGGATTTGAAAGAAAACCTAAAAGAAATATGTTTTCCCTAGAAATGCTTAGAGGAATTTACTTAATTGCAACCAGAAGTGTGACCTGGAAGTGTAACGTTTTGACCTTTTAGCTGTCTGGTTTCCTAAATGTGTTGTTTTGCTGTCTTTAAACTGTGAGAAAATCTGCTTTGCACATCTTTAACCCTTGCATTCCCTGAAAGCCTCAGTGTTAAAGTCCCCAGCAGTCCAAGAAAAACAAAAATTGTCATTACAACTTAAGGAAGAACAAAATCATAATAGATATGTGTTGATCATTGTAGTTCTTTCTGTTTTCTTTTTAACTGGAAGTAATTGTGGGTGTAATTTCACGGTTAAATATGAATAGGAATGTCTTTTGAACTTTCCATGTTACCATATTACACAATAGTACTTTCCTTTGTTCTTTTGTTCTAGAGTTTCATTATCATATGACAAAGGTAGAGAGAAAATTCACTTTTAAAATTGCAAACATTTTTGTGGGTTTGTTTATATTTGGAAAATTTGTATAAGGTTTTACAGAAATCTGTCCAGAGAGAGATGGAGGCCAATTCCTGAAGAAAAGTTGTTCATACTTTCCCTGTGTAAGTAGTTCAGGGAGGGCAGTTTTCTTTCTTGTTTTTGCATGTGTGTGGGTCATAG